AGCATCTTCCTTTCCTTCTTCCTCCCCCCCCCCCCCCTTCCCCCCAGAGTCGACAACATTGACCCGGTGAGGATAAGCGCAGAGGGAGGAGGAGAATTGTGTAGCAGGAGTAGGAGGGGCAGCAGCAGAAGCAGCAAGAGGAGGAGGAGGAGGAGGAGGAGGATGGTGATGATGATGATGATGAGGAGGAGAACATTACAGTAAGTCTAGCAATGACGAAAGATATTACCTTGTTAGAAGCGCACTCTAGCTTCTTCTTTTTTTTGTTTTTTTTGTTTTTTTTGGTTTGCCTATTTGATTGGCAGTCCTCTCCCGGCCAAGCAACGAATCGGATCACAAGAAGTTGAAGGCTAAATAACTCCGGAGAGCTACGGTAGGCTGGGATAAGGCTGAAACATCAAACATCAAAGGTGAGCTCGAGCGCATACCACACAAGTACCTATTGTTAGTAAACAGAACACGAGTTCGAATCCTCACGGATATTGCTAGAGGCTAGCTCCTTGAAATCTTAGCGGAAAAAAAAAGATTGAAGGAAGCACGAGCAAGGTAGGGAGAAGCAGGGGAGGCACGTCGAGACGGTTGATCGGGATTTACAAAGGTGCCGTTGCAGTTGAGATTCGATCCTGATCCCGATCCGCATCTCTTGAAAGCCTCCAATCACGGAGATTGCGCCACGTCACACAGCGCGGCGCGTCGCACAACGTCGGATGCGCCTAAGAAAGCAAGCAAGCAAGCCTATCGGCAGACAGTCAGGCACGCTAGGTGGCCAACAATCTATCGATGGCCAGGCACGCCACGTGGCAAACGATCTGTCGATCAGCAAACCATGATCGGAGAATACGCCTCGTCATCACGAAGCAGTAGCATTGCCCGAGAGCAATCAACTGATAGATCGATCAATGTATCGCGAGCGAGCAAGAGAGAGAGAGAGAGAGAGAGAGAGAGAGAGAGAGAGAGAGAGAGAGAGAGAGAGAGAGAGAGAGAGAGAGAGCAATCAGTTGATAGATCGGTCAATCTATCGCGAGCGAGCAAGCGAAGAGAGAGAGAGAGAGAGAGAGAGAGAGAGAGAGAGAGAGAGAGAGAGAGAGAGAGAGAGAGAGAGAGCTCTGTGTTGTGTAATGCCTAAAAACAACTCCACAAAAAAGGGTGACACTGATAGATCACTACTTTCTTGTTTTTTTTCATCAGCGTTATTTGGATTGATTATAATCAATCACACAACAAGCTACCGCCGGCTTCCCCCGAATAGAACGCACTTTAGAGGATGGGCAATTTGAGAACGGGCTTTTGATTGGTCGTCGATCTAGTACGTGCAGTAGTGATTAGCTGTGTTCTTTCTTGTTTGCTCGATCACCGCAGATGGGGGTGCTATATCCCATCCAATCAATCATTATCGGTTTGCGGACTGCAATCATCTTGTCGGTGATTGTTTGTGTGATTGATTGGCTTTTCAGACACTGCAGGTTGTCCCATCATCAATACACATCCCCTGGGCATTTAACTCGTTGTCCCACCATCAATACACACCCCCTGGGCATTTAACTCGATGTTCCTGGCCGCAATTTCGGCGTTTTCTGAACCGAAATCGTGCGGCCTAGCTAATTTCCCGCCAGTTGGGCCTGCCGATTTTCATTATTATTATTATTATTATTTATTAATTATGATTATTATTATTATTATTATTATTTTATTTTTTTTAATTTTAACGGCCTGCCGATTTCGGTTCACAGAACCGCCAAACTTGCGGCTACCGGTAGGAACGTCAAATTTACTGTGAATGCCCACAGGAATATTAATCAATAATCCCCAATTAGTAATTGTCAATGGCGAAAAAAAAATGGCGTGGGGTTGTACGAATGAGCGACGAATCTTCACATGAACTGTCGACAACACGTTGACCTTCTTCTTACTGGCTTTCTTTTTTTTTATTTTTGATTTTTTATCGACTGTCCGTAATGATTGCAGATGGCGAAAATAGCGCGGGAACTGTGCTTCGACCGTTCAATGACACTTGCAGCACCGCGGGAAAAAACGTGGATGATCAGATCTTGTTGCCGTGATGACGTGCCCATTTGCTGGTCGACGTCGGCAGCAGCCTTGACAGGATCTAGGGTGAGATTTACCCACGTGGCGGCGGCAGCGGCTTCTCGAAGAGTAGTGTTTTCACCTTGGCGCGCTTTGTATCATGCCGCTGATGCTGCTGCTTATTGCGCGACACGTGTCCAATCCTCGCTTCACATCTTGAACGATAATCAACGACGGGAAGGTTATCTTCTGGGCGGCTCGATCTGTGGTGGTCGTTTGATAAATCGTCGCCATCATCGAATATGGACAGGTCAGTATCATTACCTATCTGGCTCGTGGGTGATGGGAACACACACGTAAGCAAGAATTGATTGATAAAGAGATCTAGCGTTCGAATCCCTCTGGGTGCTTCTTTCTTTTCGCGGTACGTGCGACTCAACGCGCGGAGAAGAAGAGTGCTGACGTGGCAATCTGAATGTATTATATTTTATGCAGGTAATGATAGCAACGGCTGCGATAGGAGGGCTGTGAACTGCAAGAGGATCCCGACAAGCCTCGGTGGTCGCGCTTACACGTGTCGAGCCTTGGTGCATTCCGACAAGAGAAGAAACCAGAGGATCGCAGACGCTGCCGTAGAGATATCTAATCGTTCCGCGATGGGAGTGCCAATGGTGCAGGCCACGGCAGCAGGAGGGGATGGCGTGGCACAGGGCGGGGATTGGAAAGATGGTGAGCGAGGGGTCATCTTTGACTGTTCTGACATTGCGCTTGTCACGGGTGAGAATGGCAGCACGCTCAAACCCAATGATGAACAGAACGATCGGAAGCAGAGATCTTCCGCCAATCCATCTCCACTCTCTTTCTTCGATGCCTTCGCCTTCCGCCTCCTTCCCCTTCTCTTCCACCCACCTCTCTTTTTCTCTCTTTTTCTGTCTGTCTGTCTGTCTGTCTGTCTGTCTGTCTGTCTGTCTCTCTGTGTGCGTCTCTGTCTGTCTATCCGTCTGTGTCTGTGTCTGTCTGTGTCTGTGTCTGTGTCTGTCTGTGTCTCTGTGTGTCTGTGTCTGTGTCTGTGTCTGTCTCTCTCTCTCTCTCTCTCTCTCTCTCTCTCTCTCTCTCTCTCTCTCTCTCTCTCTCTGTCTCTCTCTGTGGATGCATATTGCTGTTCTTTTGTTTTTCTTTTCTTCGCCTTTCGNCTCTCTCTCTCTCTCTCTGTCTCTCTCTGTGGATGCATATTGCTGTTCTTTTGTTTTTCTTTTCTTCGCCTTTCGTACTCTGCGATCGTCCCCTCTCCCAGCCCCCCCTCCCCCACCCTTTCTCGGCCATACCTTCCTCCCTCCCTCATCCTTTCCCCCCATGGAACCCACCTCTTCTCGTCTTGTCCCCCTCCCCCAACCCGATCGGATCATGCACACGAAGTTGTTCCATATTTTCGTTGTAATGCCACAACGAAATTGAAACATTGAAGTGAAAGTGAAAGTGAAAGTGAAAGTGAAAATGGAAATGGAAATAGCATCTGTTCTGCTCCAGAAGCCGGCCCTTCGAGTATGTCTTTTCTTTCCTTTTCTTTTTTCCTCTTTTTCATAAGGGGAAGCAGTATCTGTTTAGGTGCCAATGCTCCTGAACGAGCTATGGACCTTTGAAAGGACCGTTTGAAAATAACAAAAAAACGAAAGTGTACTTTCGAAAGGAAAGAACGAAGAAAAGGAAAAGAACAACGAAACGAGGAACGAAAGAAAAGGACAACTAAATGAGCAACGAGCCACTGCGGCCATGCCTGCAATGGGGTGGGGTAGTAGAACGGATTAATGAATGGATGGGCTCTTGTACACAGGTGTCGGCTATCTTTTTCAATGGGGATGACAATGACAATATGGGTTTGATGTCTGGGGTGCATCGCTTGGTACACTTGGGACTTCTTTTATATACATATCTCTTTGGAATTGAACTCTGCACCTCGTGCTGGGAGATCGGCAAGAGGATTATTTTCTAAGGTCCTTTCTCTGCTCTTGAGTAACTATATAGTAGTGTATACTATCAAGTCGTTAATGAGATTGTGAAAAATGCTCATGAAAGCCATCGCCATTCCTCCTCCTCCTCCTCCTCCTCCTCCCTTCTCGTCCTGCTCTTGCAAAATAGTAGAAAAGGGAAATAAAATAAGTAATAACATTGTCCTCCAATCTGTTGTTTCTCCGCAGGTGGAGTGCTTTGGAGAGAAGGCTCCCCTGGAAGCATTTGCACTGACAGGTATTACAAAAATATAGATCCTCTCTGCTGCTATATGCATATGCATGCAGTGAAACTCACTCACACGCAAAGGATATTTGCTATTTGCTATTTAGTATTTACTTTTTTTTTTTTTTTTTTTTTTCTCTCTCAAATTCACCTCACACTATCTACCTACCACTACTCCTAATTATTGTCATACTGGGAACCCCATAGCAGCCAGAAACCCGTGTTCACAAGAGAACATGCGGGGACTGATCCCGACATCCAGGTGGGCGATACCGGCCATGGCACAGCCGGTAGCATCAGTGTGACCATGCCAACAGGACCAATCCCTGTGCCTTGCCTCAGGTCTCCCCTCCCCTTTACTATTTAGTATTTAGCTTTTACTATTTTCAATATTCTATAACCTAAAAACAAAAAAAATTGATTGAAAAGATATTTTAAGTATAAAACATCTAAAGAACAAGGAAATCCTAACTTTAGTTAGAGACATTTTGCGCAATTATACTTCCAAAAGCGAGAAATATGTTTTCCTGCTTGAATAGCCATAAAAAAAAAGAAAGGTCACGACGCGCATAGTGTATATTTATTACTACGTATGCATGCAGTGAAACCCACCCACACAACAAAAAGGTATTTACCTAGGTCACCAATGGTCCGGAGACCGGATGTCTCCCCCATACGTCCGGTACCCCCATCGTGCGGATTTCCGGACGACGGCTTTTTGGCACTAAATAATATTAAAAGAAAAAAGAAAAAAATGACAGTGTTGCGCATGCCCTAGAGAACCCCCCACAAAATTTTTCAGATTTTTCTGAGCATTTGGTGATAGGGTGGTATTTGGGGTGGGGGGGGGGTACGAGGGGTTTTGGTGGGGATAGGAGAGGTATTGGTGGGGATTAGAATCTTTGAAGATTTTTATTGTTTATTCTACTTGCCCAAATGAGCCAAAAATTTGGTGGCATACACCTTATGCAAGGTGAAAGCCACACTTTTTTTTTTTTTTTTT